GCCATCGCTCCTAGGTTGGAGGCCATCGCTCTTAGGTTGGAGGCCATTCTCTTTGGAGTGGTATCCGCACCGTTGCTTCACCCCAATATCTGAGGTTTGTGGAACGTAAAAAGTCGGCTCCAAAACAGCCGTGTTGCGACCGAGATGGCCAGACCATATACATCAGCAGGTAGATCAACGCTTACCTTGACAAATGCGCTGAAATGTATCTGTGTCTGGGAGTAGTGCTGCTGGAGCCCAACTCGCAAATTAGCCTACCTAAGGCCGGATGTATGATGGAACCTCTTCCCACCAAACGGTCTTGGATACAAAGCTCAATGAATGACAGAAACTCAAACCTGTGTTATGCGCTCAAGTCCAGAACGTGTCTTGAATGTTCTGCGCTTTGCCAATTCCCTGTTTGATGCCTTGTTGTCCACCTCCGGTACTTCTTCTTCCTTTTCTTCTGGTCGCCAGAAGCAACAATTGACTTGCTGCGACATTGCAAGCTGCTGATAGTCTAAGGATGCCATTAGCACGTAAACAATCTGCAGGGTTTTGTGAGATGTGCCGTTGAGGCATGTTGGGCCTGCACAAACGAACATGTTTTGTGGAGATGAGCCTGAATGATTTGCCAGAAAAAGAAACAGATTGGCTCTTGAACCAAAGCAAGCTAATGCAGGTCACAGAACTCATGGCAGTTCTTGTAGCATCCCTCCAACTCGCTGACACTCTTCTCAGAGCTCTGTTTATAGCACATTGGCTGCTGCTTTTCAGGACAAACATCCACAGCTTGCAAGAAACTGGGATCAGCGCTGCATCTCCTTCCACAAGGCAAAGGCCTGCTGAACATTGCTAGACTCGTCCACGCTCATCACCGTTTTTCGCACATCTGCACACACAACCCATGTCGATCTATCGATGCAGAGTGGGAGACTGTCATACTGACCTCCAGCCACAGTGATCGGCGCCCCAAGCTTCCCATAGCAATGGCATACTCCTATGCCGTGCAGGCAAAGTGATACAACTCAAAAAGAAAAGGTTGAAAACGTTGACACTTTTTGTTGAACACTCTGAGAGAGCTTCTCGAAACATCCCCGGGCCCATAAAGTCTAAGGATGGCTGAGGCCAGGAAGGCAAAGATTGAATCCTTTTTGTGAAACAATACACTCCTTTTCTTTTGACTCCACATTGATCCACTGTGGTACTACATACCAGCATCTATCCGGGCTCCTTCGCACCTGAGCACGTCTTCGGCATTTGCAGCTTGAAACATATGTAAACAGAAAAACATGCCACGCTTTACCATCAGCTCCGGATTGTGCATGAGTTCCCCCTCAGGAAGTTGCAAAGTGTCCTTGTTCACAAGGATTTGCTGCTCCCATCTTGAGTCTGTGAGCCCACAGTGCTTGAGCTCTATCATTTGTTGACCTGTCGTTGAAATTCTATATAAATGTCTATCTATCCCACACAGTGACAATCCAAGTGGCCAGTCAGCCAGCTTCTTTGACGAAGCTTGGATAACGCCTTCTGCAGCTCCTGCCCGCAGTCATTGAAAATCTATGATGCTGCGATCAACCCTCCCTTGCCATAGTACCCCAATGCTCTCAAGTGGCCAAGACTTGGGAATGATCCCTGAGTGAGGGTCACCCCGCTGGCCCAACACCCTGGGGCTCGCGGGCTCGGCGCTGGCCCACACCAGGGGCTCTGAAAATGGCACGCGGGCTAGGCGTGGGTTATTCATATCAATTGAGGGGGCACCTTTCGAACAAATTGTGAGCCACAAGCAAACCAGTGTGGCCCGAGAGCAGCCGGAATATAAATGTGACTGTGACGCTAAAGACAGGAGTTAGTTCGCATGTATGTGTTCAAGCGTCTGTGCACACATGTACATTTACATACATATCCATATGTATATAGCTAGACATATGTACCTTTACAAGTGCATTTAGACACATGCATTTTCAGAGTTTGCAAGAATAGAAGCATATGCACAAGTGCACTCACGTGACTACACTTGTACAAAAGCACTGGTGTCATGAGACTTGTGTAGAATAACACGTATGTAATAAAACTGGTGTTGATACTCTCGTGTTAATGCACTTGTCTTGCTACTCTAGTGTCCATGCTCTTATGTTCCAAAGACTTGAGACTGTTAGCAGGACTTGCTGAATTACAAGCTCCAGGGTCCACCTAACCCACCCAGCGTCAACCACGTCCGCCTTTTCAGATGCTTGCCGATTGCGAAGCTGTGCAAGCAGCACTGCCTCAGAGGTCATGAATTCCAGCAACTGGTAAAGTTCCAGTCTCTGAATTTTTATTGTGAAGGGGGTTGCAGATCCAAGTAGTGTCGAGCATACTCTTTGCACATCGTGCATGACCCTTCACCCTGATGGCAAAGACTTAAACACCTGTAGCCGTAGTTGTACACAGATTGCACACATGTTGAATGTCAGAACAATTGCTGGATCTTCTGTGTTCGCCTTGAGGCTTTCTGGCCGGCGGGACTTCCCATGGCTCCCCATATTCAGAGGGCATGGAGCACGGCAAAACTCAAAGTCTGCTTTGGATCTTCCATTCTAAACCGTCTAGGCCCCACCAAAATGTTTCTTCCCTCGGTTCACAAAACTATACATACAGTATGCTGAAGCTTGCCCGGAAGATTGAAGGGGCATCATTGGAGTGCGATCCATTTCGAGCTGGCCTTTGGCTGGTGCAGGAGCAAAGGGAGTATGTCAAAGCATCAAAGTAGATACTGTACCTGCAATTGCCTTGCAAGTTGCTACAGCCCGTGAACAAACGTGAGGTTTGGAAGATCATTCCTGTCGATAGCTGCCAACTAGGAAACAGCTGCATTGCACGAAGCAAACACGAAAACAAATTGAGCCATTGTCAAGTGAGTTGTCTAGTAGTAGAAGTAGTAGTAGCAGCAGCAGTAGCAGTAGCAGTCGCAGTGGTGGTGGTAGTAGTGGTGGTGGTGGTGGTGGGTAGCAGGTAGCAGGTAGCAGGTAGTAAGTGGTAAGTGGCAAATAGTAAGTAGGTAGCAGTAGGTAGCAGTAGGCAGCAGTAGGTAGCAGTAGGTAGCAGTAGGCCGTAGTAGGTCGTAGTAGGTCGTAGTAGGTCGTAGTAGGTCGTAGTAGTAATAGTAGTATTAGTAGTAGTAGTAGTAGTAGTAGTAGTCGTAGTCGTAGTCGTAGTAGTAGTAGTAGTAGTAGTATGTTAGTATGTTAGTATGTTAGTAAGTATGTTAGTAAGTAAGTTAGTAAGTAAGTAAGTTAGTTAGTTAGTAGGTCGTAGGTCGTAGGTTGTAAGTGGCAAGTGGTAAGTCGTAAGTTGTAAGTAGTAAGAGTTAGTAGTAAGTAGGTAGTAGTAGTAGTAGTAGTAGCAGCAGTAGTAGCAGTAGTTAGTAGTAGTAGTAGTAGTAGTAGTAGGAGGACATCAAATGTCCTTCGTCCAAAGCATTACCATATGCCATAACATGTCAAACTTTTTTCTCGAACAAATGAGTTTACGAGGTTCACCTCGGCTCATGTCAATGTGTGCAATCGGACCTCAACACACATATATGATAATATTACTATATATATATATATACATATTTTTATTCAAAAAAATACTCGCGCAATATATATATATATGCTTCCATCCTCTTTTCTAGACGTGTGCTGCTTCAGCATCTTTCTGCTGTACTATTGCCGTGGCCTGCATTCTGGAGAAAATCGGTGCCCTTGCAGCGACTCCAGTGGCATGGTTCCACGCCCCCGAGGTAGTTCCACTCACCCCGGGGGGGAGGGCGGGATAGCCCTTTTTTCTTGAGATGGAAAAAGACATGCAGAACTCAGTGGCTTCCAGCAAAGAACCTAAAGTTTCCAATGCTTCCAGCCTCTTTTCTAGACGTGTGCTGCTTCAGCATCTTTCTGTACTATTGCCGTGGCCTGCATTCTGGAGAAAATCGGTGCCCTTGCAGCGACTCCAGTGGCATGGTTCCACGCCCCCGAGGTAGTTCCACTCACCCCAAACCCACAAACACTATGGCTCATGGTCGTGGGCGGGGCGGGGTTTGAAGTCAAGCTCGTCGCAAAAAGTTCTCATGAGGGCAGCAGAAAAAGTGTTGGAATAGACCTGCGCTTGTTCCGTAGCAAACCGTTTGCCATGAAAACCAGTCAAGCTAACGTGTTGTCTGCCAGTGCGACTGCAGAAAAGCTTACCGCTGCAAGTGCTAAGAGACACAGAAGGTGTGTTCCAGATCATCAGCAGTGTTGGTTTTTTCCAGTTGCAAGCGTATTGACACATATCCACTCGAACCATGTGCACGGCAAGGTGTTTGCTAAGCATCTGCATTTGTGGGGTTTGCCACACCCAGGAAGTAGCAGGATTCTCTAAGTATCCCTTCTGCCCAGACTTCAAACATCTGCGAATCGCTTTGATTGCGGCAAAAAACATATTGTTGGCAGCCTGGACCTTGTCCCTATCACGCTCAGACACATCCGGCAACCCAAACATGTGTTCTGCAGACCGGAGCGCTTTAGGCATGCAAGACCAAGCTGGGGCTCTGCGAGCACGACTCCATGTATTGCAAGGCAAGTCAATGCCCACTATATCAAAAAGGTGGAAAACTGAGAAAATTGCATTCCATTTTGACCACTTGGACAAGTCATTCACCCTACTGACCGAAAGATCAATCACCAGGGCTAATCCTCCCCACTGAGCAAAAATTCGAGCGGGGTTGCCGACGCCCCCGAACAAACTAAGAAAAGTCACGCCGCTACAATCTGGGCGACCGCCTTTCTCACAGTGGCTGGGAGAGGGACAGTGCCATTGAGGTAGTAGCGAGGGAAGTTCTGCCGCGCGTCTTCTCCAAGCTTGCTCCACTTCTGACCGAACTGATTCATGGCCTGCTGGAGTCGACCCGGTTTGCCGTAAATGCGAGCGCTTGCATCGCTCGCCCACCGGCCGCGTCGCTGGATCTCTGGCACAGACCTCAGTTTCAGCAAGTGATCCCGACTGGCCTCTCCATGTCTGTTCTGGTAAGGTGACTGAGCTATTTCTGGAATGCCCAAGATGTCCACACACTGGCGCCAGACTCGAAGAAACTGAGCCGCATTGAAGTCCCACAGGGGTTGCTCTGCTAGTTGAGCCGCTATCTTCTGCTTGGGCTCCCTTTTCAGCAGTTCTCCCAGCCATGGCGCTGGTGCCCTTGAATCGTCCAGGATCAAGGTTTCGTCGAAGATCCCAGCCTTTGAGGATTCTCCTCTCTCGAGTGGGCTCAGCACTATCACGTCGCGACTGAAGTTGGAGGTCTTGGCCACAATGTCCCATGGCTGAACCCGGAGAATCTCGCCTGGTCGGCCATAGGTGCTGTAAGTGACTTCGTTGAAGAGAACCATTTGCGGCTGTCTCATGGCTATCATGATGCCGCTGATTGCACTCTTCAGGACTTCCAGCATGGGAAGACGTGTTTGGTTGGGTGCCAATTTTCGCCACCCCTTCATAGCTCTCTTGAATCTCGGCAGATGAAGGTAGCCCTCCCGAATGCCCTCTGGTCGGGCATATTCCAACGCAGCTTTGAGCTTCTCTCCCGCGTGAGAATCCTCCCCATTGAGAAAGAGCTCGTCCGCGAAGTCGCACATTGCTTCGTCCAACTTTCCTTCGGTCTCGATGGGAAGCTGGTGTCTTGCTACAAAGTCGTAGAACTGCTCTAGCCGTCTCGCATAGTCCTTCCTCTGTCCATCCTTCAGGCTTGCAAGCTCCAGGATGGTCATTGTCTCTGTTGAGCCTTTTTGCGTTTCCTTTCCACTGACTTGACCAAGTTGCGAAGGTCCAGCCGATGGGTTGCGTTGCTCTGTCTGCATTGTCCCGAGTCCGCGATGGACTCCTGCTTCTCAACTTTCTCTTGTTCGAGATGGGAATTGAGTCTTCTGGCATTTCCATCTTCGCATTTGTCTCCCGACCTTCTGCTTTGTGAAGACCTGTACCACTGGCTTTGCTTCCTCCCAGCGACGGCTGTCCTTGTCAGCCACATTTCGCTCAGAAGGCAACCATCGCAAGTGATACCTCTGACCACTAGCCAAAGCGTGCGCCGAGATCCTACGAACAATTCGCAAAAGACCATAGTTGTGACATCTACCCTTCTGTACGGCTAATACCACCCCCAGGTTGTCATTGAAAATAGTGATACGCTTCCGACGTCGATGAGGATCACGACTTCGATGTTTGACTGCAGCCAAAACACTCCTAGCTTCAATCATGTGAACAGGCTCCTTAAAAACAACTCGTGAGTTCCACAGCTTATGCCACTGCCACTCTTGTAGATGATCAGGGTCAACTTCAGGGAAATCATGTTGTTCTTGAACTACCTTGTCAATTTCACCATCAATCTCAGGTTTCACCGTGAGGGGATCTTCAAAAACGAGGCTGGTGTCTAGCGCAGCTTCACGAGGTGGTTTTCTCTTCCCGTCCCCAGCCTTAATCTCCACCAGCGGCTGCCGAAACCTCCGGACCATGGGAAGACTCCATCACGGCGTACCCTGTAAGACATGCATCTGTGCACAAGGGTTGGTGATCCCATTCTGCAAAAATGTCTGCTACTCCCAAAGGCATGAGACCTCGAAAAACCTGCAGCTCCTTTGCAACTGATGGCCAAAGCTTCGGTCTAGTGCTATAGGACTTCTGTATGAACACATATGAATGGCGAAGGACCCCCATCAAACCACGATGCAAGAGAGCGCGTACCGTCATATGACCCACCACCACCTGGAGCTCCTCTCCTGTGATCCATGGTCGAGGGAGTCGGCGTGACTTTTCCGGCCACACCTTCAATACGTACTCTAAGAGACTCTGCAAGTGAACAAGGGTCCAACAAATCATGTGTGTCCAGTCCATGTTCATGTAGTGCATCTAGTAAAACTTTCTGGTCTTCAGCAACTGCATCTCGCTCTATACCCAGGTGGTTTGCATTGTCCGCATAGATCATGACTGCCGTACCCGTGACCTCACGTCCTGTCCCCAGCTTCGGGGCCACCCTCCGGTCGATGAGAGGCGGCGCACGAGGAATGCATCGCCTGCACAGTTCCAGATGAGCTTCATGGGCCAAATGAAAAGACCAAGAAAATCCCATAGGCAACACTTGGAGATGTGGGTATATGGGTGCGTCATGTTGATCTGCTAGTTCAGGAGGTAGATCAGGTAGTTCTTGTTGTAGGACATGAAGATCAATAGCGGGCAAGCTGAAATACTCTCCTAGTTCCTTGGAAATGCCTAGTCTGTAAAAGTAGTCTTTGACGTCCTCCTGTGCTATAAACAAACGATTAGGTTGTTCAACTTCAAGACGACTCCAACAGTCAACACTTCCCAAGGCAGTCGTAGGTGGGGTTCGAAACAATCGGTTTGCACGACGAGCATCGACCACGAGTCTCTGCTTCTGGTTCTTCTTACTTACGAAGAAAGCTCCAATCTGAACCTTTGGTGTGATGGTGAATCCGAGCAGCTCACATTCGATCAAACCTGCTATAAACTGATGGTATGCCTTTTTGTTTGCCTGCAAAACTGGATCAAGATAACAACAACCATCCAGTCCCTTCTCCAGTTCAGCAGCCATTTCCTCTGGACTGAGCAACATATGGCTTCGAAAGTCTTGGAGTTGCTCCTTCTCTCGCTGTGGCAGCAATCCTGTCAAGTCGACGGGTTTGCGCTGCCCTCTCGGCAACGACACCTTCGACCTCTCATAGCCAACCAAAAGGCCTGGTCCCCCCCCATCATCATAGACAGAAGGTACCTTCTTCCGCAGCAGCTGTCTCAACGCGGCCTGCGGGCTCTCTGCTTCCGGAGGTGGGGCTCTCGTCGAATGAGCCTCGTGCACGTTCCAGAGAGCAGATCGCTGAGCAAAATTCAGAGGTGTTGATGGCCATGCACTCTCATCCATGAAGCCAGCAAGTCGGTTCAAGCTCCTCACTGACTCCCGTTCACCCTCAAGCAGCTTGCGACGTTTTGCCACCCGCTGTCGAGCACGACGAGAATTCAAGCCTCCAACATCTCCACTGTACCCGTGATCTCCCGGAAGAGGGAGAGGTAAAAGATCACCCCATCTTTCCCAAGGAGCAGCGCGAGCTTCGGAAAACCGGTTGGTGCCAAAAGAGGACCCGCCTCCAGCGGATGCACCATTCCCGCTGGAGGCCCTGACTTTCTTAGGGCTTCTCTGGGGGCTTACCCCCATCTTTTCCTCCCTTCCCATCGCCTTTTCGGCTCAGCCTCTTCTCCTCTGCTGCCAAGCGGGTTTGCTTCATCACCTCGGCCTTCGAGGCCTGTCGTCGAGCAGCGTGCAATGCCAATGCCGGATCAATCAATGAACCATCAGCGCTATCCCGGACTCCCAAAAACTCTTCTGCAGCATCGTATACTGGAGCTTCGGGCCGCCCTCGATGCGCGCGTTCAATCAAGGTCCAGCGCCTGTTCAGCGCCTCTGCAGACGCCAAGGCTGGCAGGTTGAGCTGGTCATAGCTGAGCATGTGGTTGAGCGCTCTGCAGATCGAAGAGTGTTCGTGAACAGATCTATCAGTCACCCGCACTCCTGATTTCTTCAGCCAGGACTCATGGTGCTGGAGAAAGTCTTGGCCAAGCCTGCGAAGCTGGCGACAGTCGTGGGCTACTGTCCGTGGACCCTGGAGCGGGAAATCGTCGAAGTCAATCTCTTCAAAATCCGGAACCGCTTCGTTGACTGTTCTCCAACGTTCATCTGCCGTGTCAAAAATCACCGGCAGAATCCTCACATCTCTCTCATCTGGGTCATTCGGCACGGCCCCTACTTTGACCGACTTCATCAATCTGTCGAAACCTCTGGCGCTGAGCCTCTTGCTAAAAAGTCGGTGCCGGACTGATCAAAAGCACAGTAAGCCTTGCCCCCCAATGTCAACATATTTGCATCCAAGGGTGGAAAAACTTCTTGGCCAATGTCAGTCCCACTCGAACTGTATACTGCAACCCATCGTCGATCACTGAAGTCTGCATCCATCAGAGCCAACTGGGTTGCGGCATCTCCGGGTGTCGCTGCCCCTGTTGGGAGGTGAGCTTTGCCATCCAAACCAATCTTCCCGTAGACCCGGCGTCTGTTCTGGGAGTTGAGCTGTTTTTCAGCTGTGGCAACAAGTCGTCTCATTTCCTCATGTTCTATGTCACCTCGATCGGAATGTTTTGGCAAATATGTATCATCCTCCCGAACCCCAGTGGGCAAGCGGCCGTTGTGCTTCATGCGCATGATCTCCGTGTACACGGGACCAACTTTCAAAACAGTGGGTTGGATGTCACGGTCAGGTGTGACAACTAAAACGTCATCATCCCCTTTACATGCCAAGACACATCTCCAGTGCAGAAGAGCTGGATCATCCTTGAATCTGACGAGCACGGCGTCTTGCACTAGCCAGTTCATCGGGCGTCAAGGACTGTCGATTGGAGCTGGGCTCAGTGCTCTTTTCAGGCTTTGTCGAGAGCGGGGCCAACTCAATAGGTTGTCCGACCACTGCAGGAACACACTAGGCTGGTGATCCCCTACAAAAGGTCCCCACTAAGATGCACACCCCGAATCCAATCAAAGTAGCAATAACCACCAAGCACAAAAACAGATGTTGCCAACCCTCGAGGTATGCTTGTTTTGAAAACACTTGTTCAGCTCTTGGGTGTCAAAACGGCACTGCCTCAGCTGATCAGCCAAGTCTCCTGCCCGCTCTGAGCAAGATCCCAGCTGGACAGACTGGAGCTTCACACTATCAGTGCCCCAGGCCACTAGCAGTCGCGCCAGATCCACCCCAAGCGCACGAACGGCGCCCTTCCACGCCATGCACAATCAGATAGCCCTTTTTTCTTGAGATGGAAAAAGACATGCAGAACTCAGTGGCTTCCAGCAAAGAACCTAAAGTTTCCAATATATATATATATATAAATGACAACCTTTGGCTCATACAACCGGACATCCCATTGGAAAGCGTGCAAATTTTATTGTCAGCACAGCAACATAGCTATGCGTTGCAAACAGCCTGCATTGATGGGATATATTCATTGCCTGTTGTTCTCATGATCTTGTGCCGATTTGACAATGACAATGGGCCATCTCTCTATATATATAATTATATAAACATGAATAATAGCCATAGCTTGACATCTCTGTTCATCAAGGCAAAAACAGCACGCCTCTTTTTGAGAGCAAAGCAAGAGTCCAACCTGCCCCCTGAACGCTAGGCAAAGCAAATTAAGAAAGCAACAAACAAGTGCTGTATCTTCTAAGCCCTTCTAGAACACAATGCATGATTGAGTGAATCCTGTCGCGGCCTGGAATTTTACAGAGCTCCGCGATTCAGTCTGCCACAGCTTGGAGGAAATCAGCTAATCAAGCGGCAGATTCGAGTCAAACCGTTGTCTGCTGTCGGTCACTGCACCGAGAAGCTCACAGCACATTGTCTGCTCAGCTTTTCTCAGAGCCAGATCCATCGTCTTCCATGTCACTGTCCTGCGTGACTTTTTTGTTGAATCACTCCATTCCTACTTCAGTGATCAGTTCCCGCCAAAAATATAAGGCAAAACAACATCTCCGCTGGCGAAACTTACCAAATTGTGTGCCCAGCCTCAATATCACTCGCAGCATCTCCTCCGCCGCCCCCTGGCGGGGCCGGTTTCCTGACAGTCCAATGCAGTCTGGTAAGGATCCTTCAAAGTCATGTGGAATCAGTTTATTAGCTATATAATAAGAAGGTCCTGCACCACATCCACAGGCCAGCTCCGATGATGATGATTCCAAATGGAGACATTATTCCTGCCAAAGCTCAGCAGCTGCTTCTACTGCACATCAAGACTCCTTAGCCTTCTCTATCAATATAATATAGATATAAAACAAATCTCTGACTTCTCCGCTGCTCCCCATACCATGCGGGCCGCCGTACCTGCGATGAGTGCAGCCTTTGACTTCGCAGAAGGGTTCCTGAGCACTGGTTGCCAGGAATTCTGCAGATCTCAGCTCCCATTCCCACATCTTGGCTTTCTGGGAGTCTTAAACAGTGATTAGACCCAAACTTCCAACTCCATGCTGCCTCCATGCACCCCCAAACAATGCCAAAGACTACTTGGTCAGGTGCATGGAGCGCTACGGTATCTTTGTTGAACTGCTCGTGCAGGTTATATACTGGTGAGTGAAAACGGACGCGCCACGAACAGCCGCAGGATATTATATGTTTTGCTCATTTTTTGGTTGTTCGGTTCGGGGCTTTGACACACACAGAAAACAAGCTGTGCAAGAATGCTTTGATCTGAAAGAACGCGGCAGCCTTTGACTGTGGTCGGTGAAAGCAGATCCCGTTTCTGGTTGCATGCATTGGGCATTATCATCTCCAGGCTACTGAGCTCCCTGCTGCGTGTAAGGTGCACCCTTTGCCCCTGGTGCTCCCTGGTAACCTAGCACTGGTTTGCACTGGGTCAAGCACAAAAACAAATCTTCCTGCTTTTGAAGAATCACATTTAGTGCAATTGAGTAAAATCCCGACTGTAGAAGGCACCGTCACTATTTCAACTTCAAGTATGGGATACCCGTGTTATCGCAGCCAAAAACAACAAGTATCCATCTTGTCACATCTGATTGGTGAAGCGCCTGGTTGCCCAGGTTGACCCTGGTAATATCCTCGCGGGCAGAACACAATGGGTCACCAGGGTCCAGCACAAACCTGTTTGGGAAACAGAACTGTTTCAAGTCCGAAAGCATTCAAGCCATTGCTCCTTGCTGTGGTGGATATCCACCTTGACCTTGAGGCGGGTAGCCTTGTTGGCCTTGTGGTGGGTAGCCTTGCTGCCCCTGCGGCGGGTAGCCCTGCTGGGGCGGATAGCCCTGTTGGCCCTGTGGCGGATAGCCCTGCTGTGGTGGGTAACCTCCCAAGATCAAACTCAAGTCATGAAGCTCTCACAAATGCTATCAACACCGTGCTGCTTGCTTTGTTGTTCTGGCCTGGCCTTGCTGTGGAGGAGGCTGCTGGAATTGCGGAGGTGGCGGCTGCTGATAACCTTGCTGCGGAGGCGGCGGCGGCGGCTGCTGATAGCCTCTCAACAAGTCCGAACAAAGCCCACGATCTTCAGGTGCGTTCGTGAAGAACAAGTTTCAACCAAAGCTGACGCCTTGTTGCGGAGGTGGCCCATATTCAAAGGACGTTTTTCTCTCGGAACTCAGAAATGCAGTGCCTGGGTGTGTTTGGTGATTGACAATCACGTACGTAGAACCTTCTGAAGTGTGAGAACTTCTTATCAAATAAATAAACTTCTAGATCCATTGAATGATATTGAATGTAACATGCCGGCTGCTGGGCCAAGGTACCGAGTTCTTGGCCGCGCCTTCGTGAAGTAAAGCCTGCCATAGAGCGCACATGTGTATTCAATTGACTCCTCAAAGGAGTTGCAAGCTTGCCAACAAGCTTCAGACCAGGAGGAGTCTGAATCTACGACTAGTGCCTTGTGTATGTTCCGCTCTAACAATCATGCACCAGTCAAAACTAACCAGCTTGTGCCTGTCCACAAGAGTGTGCTGTGGTGATTTTTTAAACTTGCCACTGTCTACCAAGCACAACAGCACAAGTGCTGTGGTCTGCTTGGCTTGCTGACATGTCAACCCAAGGTTCATGTCTGTTGAATTCCATCCCCTGCCACATCGTGCCAGGCAAACCAGCACCATCACCCAGCCAATCGTTGACGCATTGGCGACTTGGAAGGCCCGGCGACTTGTTCGCTGCATCCGTGTTGCTTCTTCTCCCACTCTATGTAGTTCATTTCTCTCCCCGTGTAGTTTTTACAGGCTGCAGTTCATTTCTCTCCTGCTTTCTCCTCCCTCTTTTCTCTTCAATAATTAACGTTTTCGCCCTGAGGGTCCAACGACATTGGCCTTGGCATAGTGGCCTGAGGATTTGGGCCAATTCACTCCACGATGGGGTTCGTGTTGTGGTGACATGCGCAATGTGGCCATGTGCCAACCCACCCCTTAATCACCGCTTTGCCAACTCACCACCATCCAAGTTCAGTTGGGAGCTTCGGGAGACCCCTCGGTACCTCATCACGTCCATACCTGAACACACACCTAGATCGCTTCTAGTAGCAAGGACGCTACCAGGAGCAAAGGGCATCGCTACTAGGATCACCACTCACTCACCTCATGTGGCGTACTAGTGCGAGTCTGCGAGGTGCAAAGAACCAGGGGCGCGACATCCTCCCATCCTCTGACAGAATGCTTTAACCTGCCAACGGAGCAGCCGTGTCAAACCTCTCATTGATTGTCATTGATGCGCCTCACATCTAGAAGTGGAAAGCCTGGACCTAGCTGGTCAGGCCGTGCATCACACGAGCACATGAAGTATCCACAATCTTTGTGCTGCGAATGCCCATGACCAAGGGCATGCCAACCCTTGAGAGTCCGGCCATCTTCCCAGGATGCGGCAAGAGCACCACGGGCCATGACCTTCAAATGTAGCAATTGGTTTGCTGCATTAAACGCGAGAAAAAAGAACGGTATGAAGTATCATGCCCATGATATCCAGAGAGTGCCTCTCCCCACCTTTACATCTGTCCCTCGGGCGTTTGAGCCCGAGTCTTGGGAAAAAGCAACAGGTGGAGACTCACATCTTTGACTCAGATCTTGCTTACAGTACTAGTAACAAGAAGCTACTAGGAACAAAGGGTATCGCTACTGGGAGCTAGGACACTACTAGTATCTCCTGGCCTTACTACTAGTAAATTCGTGTCTGCACTCATTGTCTCGGGCGTGTTGTTCGACGGAAGCACCATGAAGCACCTCTCTTCTTTT